AAGGATGACGACATCTTGAAGCAATGTTCATTTCTCTTTCAAACAAACGTCTATTATGAGGTGAGAGAATTAACTCGTGGATTTGTTTCACAGCCACTTTACAGCCTCTGAATCTTCCCAGTACAACTGTTCCCCATCCACCAACCCCTAGGCAGGTATCTGTCAGGTGAATTTCATCACGGGAAATGACCCAATCACATGGCTCTTTCCACCGATACTCATCGAGTGCCTGTTGAGCTGAAGATAAAGTTGTTTCCAGTTCCTTAACATGTTCTTCTTTAGCTCTCAACTCTCTTTCTAAATGAACCACTCTTTGTTCAGCTTCTTCTTTAGCTTGTTTTACTAACTCCAGTTCTTTTTCAAGATTTTCTCGTTGTTTTAATAAATCACCTCGCTGTTTCTCCCAGTTACTGTGTTTTTCAACGTTTTCTTTTTGCTGCTGAATTCCATCAGTACCTGTGAACCAAGTTAAAGAAAAATAATGAAATGAAAATTTGTGGCATTAATCCACAGCGTGGCTCCCTGAGATCACTTGAAAGTTAGAAATTTTTTTTTCTGGACACATCTTGATTATAGAGCAACTGACAAGGCTTGACACTAACTTTTTACACCACTTTCCATTTTTGGAAAGTAGATTTCAAATTTTGCTTTCCATCTCAAAATTTTACTTTCCAAAATGGAGTTGCAGTATTTCAATATATGGCAGACTGGTAAATGCTAGAGTGGTGTAAACTTGGCCTTTTGAAGGCGGAAGATCATCATTGTCAGATGGTTATTTTTATCATTTGATTAATTTTTTTTATACACACGTTTTCCACATACACCTTTAGCGTAAAAGTTATTTTCCAGCTGCAGCATAGCCCAAAATTTACTTCCCAGATTGGTTAAGTATTCTGTTTCATTTTCGATATTCTACTTTCCAAGAAGTAAATTTACTTTCCGGTGGAAAGCAGGTAAGTGTTAGTGTCAAGCCCTGACTGATACAGTCTTAAAATAAAAACTACGACTCATATGGTTTGAGGGTCTGGAACACAAGGACAGTTTTCAGTTTCCTTTCTGGTCAAAAATTGCATCTCATTAAGAGAACTTGGATTTTCAGGTCTCACCTGAGCAGCAAATAAAAAAAAAACATGAACATTATAATTCACAACCATTTTGTTTACACTTACCTCATATACCACAAAAGGGTGACCCTTCCCTGCATTATCCTTGATATGTATTTGACTGTTGCCCATTTTAGAGTTATGCCTTTTGACACTTATCAATGAAATCTATTTCAAACCTGAGCTTATATCTTGCTCCTCCGTTTCAGCATCCTGAGTGTTAAAAAATTGCATCCACTGTGGTGGAGATGGTGTCAGAACTACAGATCCCACCATACCACCACTACTGGTACTAGGTAGCCCTGCTAAGAATGGCAGCAGAGACAATGGCTTGGTACTGCTAGGGCTTGTTACTATACTGGATGTGTTCAAAGAGCTGTCTGATACGAGCAAGGAGTGACCCAAGACACCATCAGGGTGGTGAGGTGAAGAAATCGTTTCTGGCTGTAAGATAACTGATGTATAAGTACTTGCACTGCTAACTACAGTTCCTGTTGTGTTTGATGGACCATACAGATTCTCATCCAATGATATTGAAGCTTTTGCTAAGTCCACACTGTCTGTGGTATTGCTGACTCTTTTTTCCTCAAAGTAGTTACTAAGGGAACAATCAGCAGGTGGACTTGATTCATTGTCGCAGGACTTTCTCTTCCACAAAGGTAGCCTTGGTCTCCCCCTTTGAGAATCAGTTGTATCTGGCCTGTGGCTCTCTCGCCAGCCTCTCGGCATTGTTTGCGTGATGTTAACTCTCAGTAAGTCTCCCCACTAAACAAGTTGTAAACAGCAATCGAAAGATACACTATTAACAACAAAGTATACCAAATACATTTTCATAATAAATGTAAGCTTATTAGCTTAACTAGAGAACCTTGTTATAAGCTTACAAAATGTGCTTACATTGTGGAAAAGAGTTGGAAAATAACTAATCATGAACGAAATTAAAGCTTTATTAAGAGAAATGTGTAAACTTATTGGCGAAAACTACAAATTGACAATTTAAGGAAAGTGAGGCTTACATACAAGCTTACAGCCTATGTTCTACCACAGCTAAAGAATCGAGAAAGGAAATCCTCCTGGCAAAAAACTTAATAAACTGATAACTTGGAGAGACAATTTTTTTTGCCTTAGAAAGAAATAAATTATCAAACGTACAACCATTATAAGCAAGGCAACAAACCTTTCATATTTACCTAAAAAACTGATCAGAGATGCCAATGTTCTTGTTTACACAAGAGCGCCATTTAGCGCCATCTTGAATCAAGATTCTTTCCCAGACCTCCCACGGTTAACGAATTCACTATGGCGGAAGGAGTGTCGAAGGTGGGTCTCAGCTTGTCCTCGCGAATAATTGCTCGACATTGGTCTGCAGTAGAGAATTTGTAGAGTGGTGCTTTAACTTTCACTAACCTGGGGATATTGCCATTGTCAAAAACCACAAGTCGTTTGGAAAGATCGCTTAACATTGCCATCACCCACACAGGTCAACGTGTCGAAATCTGCAGAAATCCCGCCTCGTCATCGTTCTGCGACTGGGTGATGGTGGTTTTATGAAGTAATATTTATAGTAAGGGTGTGGCGATTTACTTTTCACTCTTCTAAGCGAAAATCTCATCGCTTGAGCCATGAAGAGAAGTAATTTCATCCTTCTTCGCGACTTGGAAGACCCTTCGAACCAAGCCTCTGGTGTGTTGTGGGGAATGTTATCGAATTACGTGTATGGGACTCTACCACCGATTGCATTGAAAGGTGAATTATTTGAAGCTCTACCAGCAGATGAACAGCCCGTTGGAATCGAAGACAAAATCGCCATACGTGGACTAAAGCAAAAGTATTTGAAAGTCGAGTGCCCCAAAGAAGATTTACAAACTATCAATGAACACGACGCTCAGATTTTGCTCGCTGTTCAGTCGTACAGTGAAAGATGTAGGATGTTGAATGAAAGGCAAGATCTTCTCCGTTGGGGTGGGAGCGAGAATGAAGGATGCCAGGTGCTTGTGTGGATTGAGGATTTGAGGAAGAATGTCGGTGCTATCGTTCATTATAAAGGAGCTCTGCCACCTTATGATGGGATCATGTTTGGAGTTGAGATTGTGGTAAGTGTATAATTCTTAAATTAACGCCTTCATCAATAATCGAAATTGTCTAAAATGCTTGTTATGTATTTTTGCTCTGTCACCTTGAGCGAATTTGTTTTTAGTTTAGACATTTTACAATAGTACAAAATCTATTTGTTTCTACACAGCCTCGTACAACCAAGAATAATTAATTTATAATTTTAACTACATAATTTAATATACAAATAATCAATAAAAAGGTGAATATTTCACACTAATTCTAAAATATATAAGAAGATAATCGAGGCTGGGCGTCCTGTATGTGACATTAGGGACCTTAAGATACGAGGACGGGAAGGCCAGGACGGCAACAGCAGTGGACGCGGGAAACTTTCGCGGGTCCCGTCGTGTCGCCAAAAACAAAATGCTTAAAATGTACATTTTCCGTATGAAAAAATTAAACGAACAATCTGATCGACCTGCTTCAGATAGCTTTTTACCACTAAAGTGTTTGGGAATTCTGTCGCCGAAGAATCCTGACTTTTGTTGAACATTTCAATTTCCATCTGTAATTGTAACAAGCATTATAAAAATCAAACAAAC